ATAATAAGAAATCGATTTTAATAACAATTTTATGAAATGTGGTTTTAATTAAATGCAGGGTCCCTTTTTTTTTTTTTTAAAGAAAAAAAAAATAAATAAAAAATTTTTTCGCTTTTGATAATATATTCCTTAATAAATTAGGAAACAAGCGTACGCACCAATGCCGGGACCATCATCGGATCAAAAAAAAATCTTCAAACGTTTTTTTCATTTTATCGTAGATCTAAAAGTACAAAATATTTAGTTTATCAATCATTTTAAAGGATTTAAGACTATACTATACTATAATATTCTAACAAGGGAAACTTAAAAACAAATAAACTTCTAACATAGGAGTTTTTTTTAATTTCATTATTAAAATATTTTTTTTATTAAAAAAAAAAAAAAAGATATTACTTTATTATTCAAAATTGGATAAGCTTAACATATCAAAAAAAATAACAAGACTTACAAAAAAGTGAATTTTAACAATGACCAAATATGTGAATAATGTTTTACGTGGTAAAACAATTATTAGTAACAGTTTCGAGATGTTAAACAATGTAAGACTGTTTAAAGAAAGAAAGCACAGATGTAATACCTAAATAAGCGAATAAACAAAATTATCTTAAAACATTTGAAATGTTTTTTTTTTTTAAAAAAACGTTTTACGTAAAATGTTTTAATTGTTTTAAATATGAGAATAGTATAAAAAAAAATTTTTTTTTTTTTTTTTGTTCTTGGTTTTGCTTTAGTTTCACTCTTTAGGATTTTCATATATGTAAAAAAAAAAAAAATTTAGTAATAATAAAAATTATTGGTATCGAAACATGTCAATGACTTTAGTAATTATTAATTACAGATTACAGGATTAACGTACGTACGTACCTTCTTCATCTCCAAATTCCAAAAGTTTTTTTTACCGTTTTGTAACACTTATAGTGTTTAGCATTTAGTATATATTTAGTGTTTAAATATTCAGTGTTTAATGTTTAATATATAGTGTTTAATGTTTAATATATAGTGTTTAATGTTTAATATACAGCTATAAAGTACGTAAGTAAGTACGTACGTACGTACGTACGTACGTTTAATAATGCTTTAAGTATTTTAAGTATTATAATGTTAATACGTACGTATATACTGTATAATACAGTAATCCTGTAATTAACATTTTATTAAAACATATCACTCCAAAATCGTTATATTAAATGCAAGTAAAAAAAGATATCCGAAGTTGCACTGTAAAAAAAATTTATTTTATTGATATGCATATGTCAGATCTTTGGTTGAGCGTAAGTCTTTCTCAATTTCCAAAAATAGAATTAAAATTTGAGTAAGCCACGATGAACACCATTATTAAAAATAGATGAACATTAACGCCATTCATTATTTAAAATATAAAATGTTTGCCACTCAAATTCTGAAATTGTAAATCATCGTAAATCAAAAGTCATAAGTGTTTCACTCGCCTCTCTGTGTTTCCAAAAGAAACAACGTAACATACAAAGAAGGTAAACGGGTGCATTGTATGCAACAATCCTTACGGTCCATCCTAGATTTAGAGGTTTCCGGGTCGGTATCTTAAGTATCTTTCGTTCCGTGGGTGAAAAATTTTTTTTTTTACAGTTTATCAAATCAAAATTATGTGAAACTTTCTCAGGCCATGCATGTATATCACCTCCTAACCGTATATATGCAAATTTCTTGTCCTGTTTACTCATCTTTATATGAAGATACGTACGTATCTTCTACGGAATATCTATTTCCTAGTATAATATGATGATAGTATGATAGGCGTTCATTATTTCGTTAAACGGCCGCCATTGTATGTCTAATAATAAATATATGCTTTTGACTGATAATGGTAACTAAAAAATCGGAGTTACTACCCAAACTATTAATAGGAAATAATGACACAATGTTTGTTGAAAAACTGTGGCGCCCACCTGATATTTTATGTGTTCATCAAACAATTCATGCAGTTTTCCTCCTGAACCATTTTTTAATAAATACTTTTTTTAGTAATAGATATTCTTTTGATACATCCTATAAATTCTATAGGTTAAAAAGTACCAATGGTTATCTTGTACTTCTGTATACTCAAATTCTATTAGATATATGTTACGTAACTAAGAGAAAAAATATGCAATGTTCAAATCTTTTTTGTTGATTGTTACACACATTTTCAAAATTAAAATCTAAAATATTAATAATAATAATAAAAATATTAAAAAACGTTTTTTTTTTTTTATGTCAAGAAATTTCGAGAACTGTAGTAATTGTTTCATGATTATTAATATTAACCAGTTAAATTTTTTTTAATGGTTTAGTAATAAGTTTTAGAAATCTCATGAGAAACAAATATATATGCTAGAAAATTCAAGAGTATATGCTATATATGTATGCTATTTATGTCATTCTTTTTTATCGCCACTTAAAAAATAAAATTTATATAATGCATTGCGGCTAATGATGATTATATCTGCATTTATTTTTCATTTTGATGATCCGAATGATTAGCCACATATTGTACTTACGTATCTTTAGTTAGGGCCGATACTGTAGAGGTAGTATTGCATGATACGCGCATACATACATCTATGTATAAAATCGGATCCGATTCGAAAGTGGATTATAATCCGGAATACAGTAGATAATAGAACCCTTAAAAAAAAAAAATGAAGATAATGCAATTTTTAAGTACGGGGGGATATTTTGTGTTTGGCGTAAAAAAGATAACCTGATCTATCCATGCGTTTATTTTAAAAAAAATTATTTGTAGAAGTTTTTTTTTTTTTTAAGTTGAAACTTTAGTTAAATAATAAAATGAAACGTATAATCTAACCTTTTCCTTTCAAGTACATTTTTTGATTGATTTTTCGTTTTAAAAAAATGGCATCAATGAATTATTAAACTATATCATCGTTACCTTGATCTACCGATATATATTTTAGATATCCTTTTAGATATCCTTTTCGATATATCAATTTATCCTTTCTTATATCTCCGCAAACATGTGAATAAATCTTACAGGAAAATTATATTCAGATATATTCGATTCGTTAAAGAAAAAAAAAAAAATTTTATTATTATTATAACTTTAAAATGCAAGTTTAATTAAATTTACGCCGATATTTGTTAAATTTGTAATCCACGCACGAAATCTTATGATGTTCTAAGATAGTTTTACGATACATGTGCATTTTTTTTTTTTTTATTTCTCAAGCACGTAATTGCGTAATTGGGCAAATGCATTTATGCCATGATTATATATATATATATATATATATATTGAATTATATTGAATAGATGTTGTGGTTACGGATAAATTATTAAATAGTACATATCAGATATTATAATATACGTATAAGTTTATATACATATATTTGATGTACTACGGTTAAAGGTTCCCGATAGCGATTTCCGACTTCCGATAGATTTTTATTATTATATCTTTGCTAATACTTTGATAATACTTTGACAATACTTTGACAATACTTTGATAATACTTTGATAATATTTGATAATATTTGATAATATTTGATATTATTATAACTTATTATGGCTTATTCGACTTATTACAACTTATTATAACTTATAGACTTTAAAAAAAAAAATAGCATGTACGTACATACATACATGACGTTAAACGTTGATTTAAAAGTTAGTGATTGATATTGTAAAGAATATGTTTGTTTATTTTTTCATTCAATAGATTAATATTGTTAAATAGTTTATTATTTGAATTTATTATTATTATTATTTTTGAATTATCATAATTTTTGATTCAGTAAACGCTTTAGGTATAAACAAACAACTAAGCATTTAACTACTATACTAGTCTTAGCACGATAGCATATATCACCGTCTAATATTTTATTGGTAATACGGTTTACTCATCAATGAACGTTAAATACAATAAAATACAATTGTTCCAATAAATATGTAATTTAAACATGCGTTTTTGATTATTGTTATCTAATGAATATGAGGAAATTTCAACAATTGTCTTTTTAATATTTATATAACTTAAATATAATATTCCATGTAAAATTATCAAATACAAAACTGACGTACATTCTATTATCTTTGTAAATAATATAATGTTAACTTGTTTATTGTTTTATGTACTATTCATTTTCACCAATCATATTTTGTTAAATCATTTTTTACTATTCAAGAAAGCATGCGAAAAAAAATATATAATTTCAAAAATTATTTTGTTCTATTAAACAATAAGTTCCGTCTATTCGGGTGGATCATTTATGGCGACATATTTTGAAAAGTAAATCGACGTAATTCAAAACAATAAAATTTTTGTAACAATAAAATGATACCATTCTAAAACGTTTATCTGTCTCCGTCTTTTTTTTCTTTAAATCATTATTATGATAATTACTGTTAGTAAGCTTTAAATTCTGATAAAAAGTTCAATTGTTATTTTTGTTATTTGTAATTTGCTCGGTGATAGAATTTTTTTTTTTTTTTTTTATAGTATAATGTATATAATAAATATGTAAACTCGGGTTTGTGTTACAACCTAATTGGTGATTAGAACCGAGGTTGCATATCTGCATATACGTGGCGTTATTGTCTCAGATACAATAGCAGATATAATAGCATTAATAAATAAAAACTAATAAATAGAATTGAACTGAATGACTGTGGCTACTCACCCAGCACAGAAAAAAATTCTCTTCAAGTCTATTTTAGAAATTTTGATTTTTTTTTTTGAAAAAAAAAAATACATATAAACAAGTCACTTTTTATCTACATTCCCATTATTATCAAACCATTTTCTTTTTTTTTCTTTTATCTTCTTTTTTTTACCTAGGCGATAGTTTTCAAACTATATAAACTATATCCAAATTTATATTCTCACCTTCCCTTTTTGTGATCTACCTACATTGTAAGTATTCGTTAAATTTCTGCGCCATCAATATCATTTATTATTTATAAAAAAAAAAAATTTTAATCAATCATTTAAATCTTTTTATTTAAATTTTAGCAAAAAACAAATGGACGTTGAAGCTAGAAATAGATATTGCGGTCTCTTGATGTTCACATCTTCGACAGATGCAAAAACCGGTAGCATCATAGTAAACAACTATGATACACCATCTTTTAATTTCGTGGATTCAGCAGAACCTGATGCGTCCTCTATCGCCGCAGGCGCCGCAGCACCAGACGAAAATGAAAGTGGAAAAAAATCCCCAAAATCACAACAGGAAAAACGTCCACCTCGCCCCCCGAATGCTTTCATTTTATATAGAAGAGAAAAACAACCTGCTATCTTGGCCGCTCATCGTCATCTTACTAATGCTCAAATTTCGAGATATATCGCAGATTTATGGAGAAGTGAATCTAATGAAACACGTTTACATTGGGAACGAGAAGCCGATAAGACTAAATTAGAACATATGAAAGCTTATCCAAATTACGTTTATCGACCAAATAAGAAAGGAAAAAACGATAAAAAACGTAGAGAACGAAGAAAATCTTCAAATACCATACTTTCTGCAAATTCTGTAGAAACTGGTCCAATTAAAGTAAAAATAAACAAAGGACAAAATCGAACCAACTTTTTGAGCGGAACAAGTATTACTAAAGTTTCTAATAATAATAATTATCAAAATACGATACCAATTTCTGCAGTATCAACAACAACTTCAGGATCTTCTTGGATGACTAATCTTCATTATAATACTGAAACCAATGGAACTAATGAAGATATACTTACACCGGTCACACCAGTTAATGACCTTCAAGATTTTACGAGTTTGTGGACAATGGTTCCATCACAACAGGTTGTGGTTACTTCAAATCATTCAAATTTACCTCATTTAACATTTCCAAATGTTAATGAATTATCGGCGCCTACATTCCGTGAAGAAATCATTGATCCTTCAATGATGCTCTTTAATGACAATTCCTTTTTCGATCAAACGGTTTTTATCAACGCCAAATCTAATAATAATAATCCCAACACTGGTGTTGGTAATAATCATTTTGATAATACAATTAACAATCCAATCGACGAAATACTTGCAAGAATGGAATTCGAAAGTTATGGTTTCAAAAATGAACAATTAAATTAAGCATTCTTTTATTTTTAAACCAAATTCTTTAAAAAAAAAAAAAAACTTTATAAAAACTCTTTTAAAGAATCTTTTAGAGAACTTTTTAAAAAAAAAACTCTTTAAAGTCTATAAATCTATGAACATTTTTTTTATATAATTGTACTTTATTTCTCTTTTTTTCATATTCTTTCATCGAGCATTTTATTATTACTATTTTTTTTTTTCTTTATATGGGAGGGAAGGATGCAAGGATATGAGTGTATATATGAAAAAATGGGTTCTTTCGTATAAATATATATTATATATTATAAATTTTGGGTTTTGGATAATCTTTGAGTTAGACTTTTCTTAAATGCAAGTCAATTAAGAAGTCTTTTTTCCCCCTCTAGATTTTTGTATAAATTTTGTATCTATATTTTTTTTTAAAAAAAACAAAAAAAAACAATATACTCGACGTCCTTCCATTTTCCCTCTGATATAATGAAAATCGACTTTTTTTTTTTACTTTACCTCCTTTTTTTTTTTCCTCTTCTTTTTTTCCATGTACTCTTTCTTTCACATTGCATCGCAAACGCCACTTGTACATTACACAACTTTTTTTTTTTATTTATTTCTCGCTCTGGTTTTTCCTTTGTACATCAAATAAAAAAAGCATGTATGCGCATAAAAAAAAATTAATAAAAAAAAACAAAAAAAAAAAAAAAAAACTTTTTTTCATAATCGATTAAAGTGTATCCGATAAGAAAGTGTATTATTTGAAAAGTGCAAGTTTAAGTGTATTCGATATTCGATAAGTGTAAGTAAGTGTATTCGATATTAGACATTTGATATTAGACATTTGATATTCGTCGAAAATGATATAATTTCTTATAAAAATGAGCAACATACGTACGTAACCTATTTATTTATGTATATTACAAATACTATATGATTATTAATAAAAAAAAAAATTTTATACGTATATTATTGTACATAAAAATAATATTGTTTTTGAAACAAAGATTATAACTTGTAAAAAGTTGCATTCTAACGCTCTTTCGATGCCTTTGAAAATGATCTAATTCACTTCGGTAAAAATTACGTTACGCAAAAGTCATAAGCTCATCTTTACGTACGTACGTACATTGGGCGTATGTATATTTTATTAGTAATAAAATAAAATTCTTTAAAGTTTTTCAATAAAAATGTTTATTATTATTTTATTATTATTTTATTATAAAAAAAACCGATAGCTTCGGTCTATTTCTTTTTGAAAAAAAAAAAAAAAATGCATACAATGATCTATTTACTATTTACTGATTTACGCATTAATAATGTACTAAAGAAGACTTTTTAATAATGCAATTGTTTGTGTGTTTGAGGCTTTTTGACAAGTTTTTCTGAATTTCCTTTTTTTGATATCTCGGGGCTTAATTTGAAATGTTTTCCATTTATAGTTACAATTATGTTAAAAGCTTCCTTGGCAAATAAAAAATTTGGAAAATCTTCATTGTACGAAATTAAGATAAATATGCTGTGCTACCCGATTGCCGGTTTCATTGATGGTGTTTCTAAAAATAATTTTAAACTTATTCTAGAATGCTAATGAACGGTTGTACAATTGTACTACTCTCGGGTCTAATATGTGGCGTACCGTACCGTACGCGTAAGTACTTAAGTACGTACGTGCGTAATTTCTTTATTTTTTTCTTTAGACTGTAGTAACTTCTTTCCATTAATAACGAATTTGGCTGAAATGAGTAATTTATTGTATTCATTTATTTTATCTAAAAGTGTATAACTATAGTCAAAGTTTTCGTAAACTTTCTCCTTAAACGTTTGAAATTTTTTTTCAATGTAATAAACTATAAATTTCTCTACTTCTGAATAATAAGGAATTTCGTTCGCGTTTCTCACCTTTCTCCTGAGTTTTATCTTTTTGCCAATAATGAATTTTTTATTGATTGAATAAGCGGAGCTAATTTTCCGCGACATTTTCGCGCTTATCAACTCCGAATCTGTAAAATTTGGTGATGTGATAACAAACTAATTTGTCAAAGAAGGCGGTGAAAATAAATGCCTCTAACATAAAAAAAGTTACTGCGTTCAATTTAATTCGAATTCGGTTATAAAGGGTTTTAAATCTGGATTGTTTCAAAGACACCTCATGATACTCATGATAATAACTTTAACGAAAATATTACCTTATTGAGTTGACCCATATTAAATCACAATGAAGTCATAATTTTGTATTTAAAACAAAATAATAATAATTTAAATTTCTTTATCAAAATGAAATCCATTTGACATTCTTATCGGTAAAACCCGATTAACTTTTTTAACTTTTTAAAGTACCAATCAGAATGAAAAGATTTTAAGTTCAATTAATGTTTAGAAAATTATTTGATTTTCTTTTTGTTTGTGTATATTTTCTTTTTTCTATCCATTCATCTATCAATCTTATTTAGCTTCTTAAAACTTTGTAATACATTAAACCTATTGTCATCAATATCTATGCTAATCAGGTCAAATTCTAAAACATCTTAGAACGTAATTCAAAATCGAATGTGGATTAAAAGTAATCTCGTGGATTTCGTGTATTTGTAAATTATTACGCCATGCGTGTACAGTAAGTATGAATTTCATGTAATTAATTAATTAATTACATTGATATTGCAACGTGTTAAACTGATTTACTGTATATAGTATCTATCCTTTCACACTTTTATAAACACGTAAAAGAGATAGCATATACAGTTGATGTAGATAATGGTCATACGTTTTTTTTAATATCATGATTACTTTTATCAGTCATGCATGTTACAATTCACAAAATTATCATGCAATTTTTTATTTGTAAATTTTATTTCTAGTTGTTACTAGTGTTATTTGAACTTGTCATAACTCGCGTATGCTTTTGTAATACAAATCAGGTGACAATCTTTTGTCACGCTATTTTCTAAGAATAATTTGTGGCGCTGCCCGAATTTAACCCGAATTTACTTAGAATTTACTAGATCAACTCGCCGATTTTCGCCGATCTTTCTCGACCTTTCCGGATATATATTCTTTTTTTGTCATTTGTCATCCTGATTTTCATAAAATTACATAAGTCGATGAATTTACATTTCCGAGACTATCATCCAAAAAATCCTTGTCCATCCAAAAAATCTTTGTTAAAATATTCGGTACTTCTTAAAATAAAATTGTCGCCGAAATTTTTTTACGAATTCAACAGTATGAAAAGTATGTAAAAAAAAAAACAAATTTTTCTTCGTAAAATGTTATATTACCACTAAAAATGAGCAATTCTTTTACGTATCTATTATTCTTCTATATATATAATTCATCCAAGTTTTTACGTAAAAAGTGTTAATTAGGTGCTCCGAATTTATAGCTTTTATCAAAATGCATACATAAAAGGTTAGTATATTAAATAAAATATTTTATAAAAAAAGAAAATTAAAATAAAATTTTTATTATATAACTTGATATATATTACAGCGCTTTTCAAATTACTGTGATCAGTGATTTTCATACATCACACCGGGAATCAGAAATCTGGAAAAAAATTCCAATACATGATTGGATAAAAAAATATTTTTAGCCAATCACAGATTTGCATTTATTCTAGATTTCTGATTTCCGGCGTGATGTATGAAAATCACTGATCACAGTAATTTGAAAAGCGCTGTAAATTATATATTTTAAAAAAGCCTTTTTAATACAGTTTAAATATTTTATTATAAAATTTAATATAGTCAAACTTTTATAATATCTTCGGAATGGACCGGACTGAGCCGGGTTTTTATAAACCCGGTAAAGATATTTTTTTGAATCCGATCTAGGCCCAAACTAGGCGGGCTGGGCCAGGTCGGGCTTAAAATCAGTGTTGAAAATTTTATGTTCTCATGTTTTTATTAGTACATCTTTTTAATTTAAAATATATTTATCAAATTAAAATATTATTTATAAAAATATATTATCAAATTAAAATATTATTTATAAAAATATATTTATCAAATTAAAATAAAATATATTTATCAAATTAAAATATTATTTACATTAAAAATTATAATTAATAAAAAAAAATTTAAAATACAATTAAAAGTAATTTTATTAGTAAGTGAAAAAAATTATTTGCATTCAAATTTAAAAAAAAATCATCTTTTTATTCATATTACTAAATCCTTAATTTTACCTATTATCAAGATGTTCGATATTATTTCGGAGTATTTAAGTTTTACACAGGTCAAATCGGGCTCCAATCAGCATCACGCAATCTCAATATGAACCTGATTTGAAACAGATATTTGGTGCACATTTTAGGATACAAATCCGGTCACCAATACTTATCGAAATGCTGATAGTTCTATAGGTAAATCGATAAAGCTGTAAGGCAAGTTTTATCAATTTATCTATCAGCATTCCGATATGTTTTGAACACCTATATGAACTCAATTTGTATTCTAAATGCCCTATTTGCGCCAAATATCTGTTCTATATCGGGGTTGCGTGATGCTGATTGGATCCCAATATGCCTTCATTTGATCCGTTTTACTGTAGTCTTATCAAATTGGTCTTGTATATTTTTTTTCTATACAGAATGCATTTATTATTTGATATTTTGGTCTCTTTATCTTGCAATATTTTAATTTTGTATAGGCTAATCCCATCAGCTCACCAACAATCACTTCGCAGACACTACATTTTACCGAACCCATTTTAACAACAAGCTTTTTTTACAGACAATTAATTCACCAAAAATTAATTTACCGACATGCTTGTTTTACCGACAAGTTACTTTTCATCAACACAAAAGTTCACAGAAAATCGGTTTACCGACAATTAAAATTTACCGACAAGCTCTCTTTACCAGCATTAAAATTCACCAACAATACATTTCACTGACAATAAAAGGGTAGGACTATATCCAGTGAGAATTAAGATGTTTATGTAAAATAAAAAAAAGGCTAGAGTCATTATCCAATGAAGAATTGAGTTATTAACATTAGAGAGAGAATAAAAAATCAAAACGA